GGGGGGGGGGTAGGTATGGAGTTAACCTGACACGCCAGGGTCGCCAGGGGGAGAGGCCAGGGACCTAGCGTGTCCCGCTCGTCCCCTTTTCTGTTTCCAGCACCTCCCCTCACTTCCCCCCTGGGAAGCCCGCTTCCCGGCCCTTCTGCGCCCCTCTGCGGGTGGTCAGTTGATCCCGGCCCACTTTCGTTCCAGCTGGTCCCAGGAGCTCCGCTGGAGTGCTGGGTGGAGGCGTTCTGTCCTCTGTGACATTTCCAATTTTAGATAATGCCTGCTACCCCGGGACCCCCTAGAGCCCCCATGATCTGGAAGAAGACAGCGTGAACCTAGGTGAGTCTCTCCCCCTCTAAATTGGAAGGGAGGTTCTCCAGAGCCTCCTCTGATGGATGAGGGGTTCTTCTGACTTGGGGGTGAGGACTGTGTACATGGCTGGAGTGGGTTGGGGAGGGTGGAGGAGAGGGAGGCTTGGACTGGAAGTGGCCGGTGGTGGGGCTGCTGGTGGTTCCTGCCTCTCTCCCCGGCTTGGGCACACCTGTGTGTTCCCTTCTGTGAGCCCACCTTCCCTCTTCACCCCTGGCACCACTGTCGTCCCTACACGATGTCCTCCGCTGGCTTGGCTCCGCCTGCCTGCCCTCAGACCTCACACCAGGATGCTGCGGAGGCTGCTGGAGCGGCCCTGCACTCTGGCCCTGCTTGTGGGCTCCCAGCTGGCTGTCATGATGTACCTGTCACTGGGGGGCTTCCGAAGCCTCAGCGCCCTGTTTGGCCGAGAGCAGGGGCCCACATTTGACTATTCTCATCCCCACGACGTCTACAGTAACCTCAGCCACCTGTCTGGGGCCCCTGCTGTTGCCCCAGGCAGCCCTCTGGCTCCTCAAGGTCTGCCTTACTGTCCAGAACGGTCTCCTTTCTTAGGTGAGTGCAGAAGGTAGGTGAAGGTGAAGAAAAGGCCAGGAGGGTTGGGGGGCAGGAGTGGGCTCAGGACCGGAGGCTGATGTAACTGAAGGTGGGCAGAGGCTGAGGCTGAGTGGACTCTGAATTTGGAGTTTAAGTTGGGTCTGGGGTCGACCCTTCACAGGCTGCTTCCTGCCCAGGCTAGGAACTGCCTCCTCTGTGGGCGAGTCTTGGTTCAGTTCGTTAGCTGGAAGTCCATCTGCTCTCTCCATCCCCTAACTGTAGCTTCCAACCCTATAAAGCAGAAGAGTTACGAAACATGAAGTACGCAGGTAGGCTAGGTAAGGGGTCCACACCTCTCAGACTCTGCAAAGCTGTCCCAGTGATGGGGACTCAAGGCCTGTGAGAGTCTGGAGTGAGCCCTTGGGGGCTGCTGAGCCACAAACCAGGAGTGCCAGGGCAGAGGTGGTCCCAGTCCCTGGTGGTCCTGTGCTCCTTGACCCTCTAATCCCCAACTTGCCATTCCCTCCAACAGTGGGTCCTGTGTCCGTGTCCTTTAGCCCAGTGCCATCGCTGGCAGAGATTGTGGAGAGGAATCCCCGGGTGGAAGCGGGGGGCCGGTACCGCCCTGCAGGGTGCGAGCCCCGCTCCCGGACGGCAGTCATTGTGCCACATCGAGCCCGGGAGCACCACCTGCGCCTACTGCTGTACCACCTGCACCCCTTCCTGCAGCGCCAGCAGCTCGCTTACGGCATCTATGTTGTCCACCAGGTACCTGCCCCCGCTCTCTTGTCAGGAAGTCTCCAGCAAATGCCACTCCTCCCTCACAGGCGGTCCCTGGACTGATTTTAAGATGGTCCGGCTGTTGAATGTGGGGAAACCCTGGCTCGGCTGTGCCAACACTTCCCCTCATTCGAAACAGGGCACTCCCTCTGTCCAGCGAGCTTCCAAGTTTTTCCTTTGTTGAATTTTGAATTGTGTGAATATGAAATTGGACAGACTTGGGCTAAAATTGTAGTTCTGCTAATTGTCCCATGTGTGACCTTAAGCAAGATACTTGACCCCTACAATGAGGCAGGGTCCCGGCCGATACACACCTATTCATGTGGTTGGTTGTCAGGATTTCATGCTGAACGGCAGCATGGAAGTACCAGCCCCTGCTGCTGTGCAGAACGTCCTGGTGGATGAAGACGGTCAGGACAGCGCTCTTCGCTCTCCTTGCCCCTGCCTCCGTCTCACTTTGCTTTCCTCTTTCGCTCTTGCCCTCAGCCCCCTTCTCCATCCACCCACAGTGTCTGGTCCTCTGTTATCTTTCAGGCTGGAAATGGAACTTTTAACAGGGCAAAGCTGCTGAACGTCGGGGTCCGGGAGGCCCTGCGTGATGAGGAGTGGGACTGCCTCTTCCTGCACGACGTGGACCTCCTGCCGGAGAACGACCACAACCTGTATGTGTGTGACCCCCGGGGGCCCCGGCACGTGGCTGTCGCCATGAACAAGTTTGGATACAGGTAAAAGGCTTGCGAGGACGCTGGCAGCAGGGAGGAGGCAGGCTGAGGGGATTGTGGGTAGGGACATATCCCAGACCTGTGGACCCAAGGGCCTCTCTCTCCCTAGCCTCCCATACCCCCAGTACTTTGGAGGGGTCTCGGCGCTCACTCCCGACCAGTACCTGAAGATGAATGGCTTTCCCAATGAATACTGGGGCTGGGGCGGCGAGGACGATGACATTGCTGCCAGGTCAGACTTCCTCCCCCCCCTCCGCCCCCCAGCCTGCAGCCCTGTCTTCCGAGGCCCCCGGCCATGCTCCTTTCGCACTAACCTCAGCTGCAGGTCCTGCACTTGCCATCCCTCCGCCTCAGTCCTTTCAGTCTACCCGGGTCAGGCTCTGCACACTGCTCCTCTTCCCCGTCACCCTTTGGTGCCTTAGGTCAACTGGGAGAGTATCACGGGACCCGAGCTGGAAAGGGGCCCACAGATGGTTTGGTGCTGCTTCTGCTGGGTATATCCTATGGGGCTAGAGGAGGAGGCACTCATAGAGCCCAGAATCACTTTTTTCCAAAGCCTCTGCCATTGGCATGATGCCAACTCATTTTTAGCATGTGTAACCTTTGACCTTCAGCCTTAGCTGACTCAATTTCCTATCTGTGGTTTGAATATTTGGGCTCAACATACTGGATCCATTGCCTCCTCTCCCCTTGTGTCCTCTGGGATGTTGCCTCTGAATTCTTGTCCTGAGTGTACCCTTCCCAGGCCGTCTTCACCTCTTGCTCCTGTGTCAGTTAGGGGCTGGTTCCTGTCTAGGACCCACCCTTCACATTGGATCGGGTGGTACAGGGCAAAGGAGGTGGGGCAGCTCAGCCACTCTGCTAAACAACAATGGCTGAGCTTGAGTCTGCAACTCCGACTTGTCAATGTGTCCTGCCTTTTGACAAAAAGGCTCCTCTCCCAGTCCTTCCCAGACTGCTAGGGTAGCTCCTGGGACCATTCAGGGAACGAAGGTGGGAGGTGCAGACACACCTCTGCCAATTGCTTCAAGGCCCCCAGCTTTCCTGTTCTCTTTGGCTGTTTCCTTCTTTCCATTTGCCTTTTCTCCCCTCCCAACATTTGGCACTAACTAGGAAAAGTTAACTTTTCTTCCTAACTGGTAACAGTTCTCAGTGTAGAGAATCGTGCAGTCCCATCCTGGCTGGCCTCAGCTCTTCTTGTGCACCTGTCAGCAGCTTTCCTCTAGTCTGATCCTTCAAGGTTCCCCCACTTTTCCCACAGGGTACGGCTGGCTGGCATGAAGATCTCTCGCCCCCCCGCATCTGTGGGGCACTATAAGATGGTGAAGCACCGAGGAGACAAGGGCAACGAGGAAAATCCGCACAGGTAGGCAGGGAGGACTGCCTGGGTAGTGTGACTGGATCCTCGGGGTTCTGCATTCCAGCCAGAAAACTCCTACAGATCCCTAGATTCCTGGCTGTTCCTAGATCTTAGTCTCTAACCTCTAATCCTCAGATTTGACCTCCTGGTCCGTACTCAGAATTCCTGGACACAAGATGGAATGAACTCACTGACATACCGATTGCTGGCTCGAGAGTTGGGCCCTCTCTATACCAACATCACAGTAGACATCGGAACTGACCCCCGGGGTCCCCGGATTCCCTCTGGTCCCCGTTATCCACCTGGCTCCTCCCAGGCCTTCCGCCAAGAGATGCTGCAGCGCCGGCCCCCAGCCAGGCCTGGCGCTCTGCCTACTGCCAACCAGACAGCCCCACAAGGTTCACACTGACTCCTCCTTCCTGCCTACTTTAATCATGAAACTGAATCAGAGGGGTTGTGTTCTCCCACCCTCAGCTCCTCGCTGCTCTTAGAGGGATGTGGGGCAACCACTAGTGCTGTGCTGGGGGCAGGGGCTTCTCCTCACTGCTGGACTGGAGCTGGGCTCCTCTAGACCTGGTGGTCTTTGTTTATAGGGGCATTTGCCAGGGCTTATGACTGTGAATCCTTGACGTCATGATTTTATGTGATGACTCCTGGGAGTTCCCTGCCCCTGGAGCAGGAGCAGGGCTGGACCCCAAGTCCCTTCCTCTTCCACGGAGAGGAGAGTGATCTGGCCTCTCCCGGGACCTCTGTGAATATTTATTCTATTTATGGTTCCCAGGATGTGTATTGGTGAAGTAAGCCTCTCCCTGGGTACTTTCTGCCAGTACCAGACCTGGCTCATGGGCCTGGGATTTTGATATATTTTCTAATAAAGGACTCTGTCGCACCTTTGCTCCTGCTTTTGCACCCCTTCCTCCCCAATGCCAGTGATAGGACAGCCAGATCAAGCCAATCCAGAGCAACTTTTATTTTCACGGTGAGAGTCCTGGCCAGCAGGGGGAGCAAGAGGTGGGTATGGACATCAGCTGTCACGTTCTGAGCCCAGGACCCGGGCTGCTGCCTTGCGCCCGCTCTCTATACAGTCATTGACAGCAACCCCCTCGTAGGAGGCTCCAGCCAGAGTCAGGGGAAGCCTGCCAGTGGCCAGGAAATGGGTAGCTGACTCTGGAGAAGACAAAGGAAGCCACAGCTGGGGTCTGATTTCCTTGGTTCTCCTCAGCCCAGCTGCTTTCCCAACTTACCCAGTTTTTTCCAGTGGCCTAGTGTGTACTGGGGGATGCAGTTCTGAAGAGAGAAGAGATAAAAGGAAAAGTTTATACTAATGTCACAGGCGTTGGTGGACAATAACAAAAATACCAGTCCCTGCCTTCAAGGCCTACAGTGGGGAGCTGAGGTCATTCATCCCAGCTGACCCTGTGTAGATGGACCAAGCAGTGACTTGGTGGCTCCTTTAGTCCTAACTGTGTGGCAGCTGCTTCCTGTGCCCGCTGTTGGAACAGTTCCTGAGATAAGACACAGCCTCTGGCTTCCAGCGTCTGTAACCAGGAACCTCCTAGCATCACCTAGGGAAAGAAGATGGCACTGACCTACACTGGGCACACAGGAGCCCTTTGGAAACCCCCATTAAGCAAAGCTGCCCCCTCTCACAGTCACTCTGAGGCCAGGGGGGCTCCCATCCTGCTCAGGGAAAGCAACGGAGTCGTACACGATTCCCAGGATGCCTGGGTCTTCTGAAGATGGCACCAAATGTCCAAATCCCTGAGAGTAGGAGAGGACAGTCAAGGAGGAAGGATTCCATTTGGGCCCTTGTCTCCCCTTCCTGTGTCACACCTGGACAGGCAGACGGGCTCCTTGGTACTGCAGATTCACCACAGCCACAGACACAGCAGTGATGGTGCTCAAGACACGAGCCAGAGGTGCAGCCTCAGCAGGGAGCAGCTTGCTGAGCACTGGAGGGAGCAGGCAGAGGCCTTCTTAGGAGGCAATCCCACTACAACTTCATCTACCCTTCTTGGGATTAGCCTTCCATCGAATGAACAATCCAGGGGCATGGTATGGTCCTCCTGGCCCAGAAACCTATAACTTGCCTCACCCTGGTTGGGGAAGGGGAGGGCGGCTACCCCGTTACCTGAAGCTGGAAGAGCACTAATAACATGGTCAGCCTCCAAGCAGCTGTCCCCTAGAGACACCTGAGAGATGAAAACATTTGAAACATACAGAGGGAGTTTTGCCTCAGCTTCTGGGGCACCCAGGTGACAGGAGAGCCTGGTAGTGAGCATGAAAATTACCCATTACTCCAGTTAAGTGGGTCAGACAGGCTAGGGTGTCCTCTGAGCTATTTAGTGGACCTGGGTTGTTCCTGCCCCGACCTCTCAGCCACTTAAACACACTCTATGCACAGACTTGGGTCAAGTGGGTCTTGGAGGAAGGTCCACAAATAAGGCTCATATTTAAATAGCTTCTAGGCCAGGAAAACAATAAGCAACTCCAGTTGGGCCAGCCCTGGCCTGGTTAAAACATTGGGCACTCCTGGCCGGGTTGCTCAGTTGTCAGAGCATCGTCCCCATATGTCAAAGTTGTGGGTTTGACCCAGGTCACGGCACATATAAGACTTAACCAATGAATGCAAGAATAAGGGGAATAATAAATCGATATTTCCCTCTCTCTCTACAGTCAATAAAAATAATTTAAAAAAAACAAACAGGCAAAAGACGGAAACTCTTAACACAGGTTCATTACACTCCAGGGGGTTCTCCTACCTTCCAGCGTCCTGCCTGGAGGCTGAGCCCACAGACCGGCTGGCCTCTGAGAACAGTGACCTCCCTACTGGTCAGGTGAGTGTTAAGCGCCTGGGGCAACATCTCCAGGCCTCCTCGGAGTGACCACTGACTCCAGCGTTCAGCTCGGGCCTGCCGAATGAGAGCTGAGTCTGGCCATGAGGTCCGCCCTGCAGAGGAGGAATACAGAAGAATCCAAGTAGCTCTCAGGCCTCCAGTCTTGCCCTGGCAGTCCCTAATGTCTTGACCCCTGAACCATGTTCCCCTCACCTGCCCCCAGGAGCAGCCCCAGTAATATGGAACGATGGGTTTGCTCAGCTTGAAAGAGACTGGGAAAGCAGGACCGTACACTGAGCTCACGGCTGTTGCCTGCAAACACTCCACGGCAGAGGCTGTCCATGGCTAGAGACGCCACCTTAGGGGCGAGATGGGGACTAAGAGGCCAAGAACTGTCACCGCCCTGCTGGTGGGGGTGAGGAGAGGTTGAGCAGGTAGGGTCTGGGTTGGGAAGCAGCCTCAGTCTTACAGAGGGAGGAGAAGGGAGAGAGGCATTTGCCCTCCGACACCGAGTTTTGGGAACTACTGAGTATGAAAAGAGAGGGGACACTCCCAAGTGACACAGAAGAGCTCCAGGTGGCCAGTGTGAGTGGGGGCTCTATGGCTGATTTAGGAGGAGAAGGATTTGGGGACTCTGGGCAGTGTCACCTCAGGTCCAAGGCGGCGCTCGGCAAAACTGTGCACAGTCTCGTCAGTGTCTTTGCCCTGGGGTGTGGTCAGGTCCCTCAGCCCAGCCCAAAACAGAGGTCTGGAGAAGGGAGGCGAAGGACGGAGTAGCCCGCTGCATGGAGGAGGGCGCAGTGAGGAGGGAGCTGATTCCATCCCAGCTCCAGGCTCACTTCCATTCATTTGGCCCCTTTGGCTTGGGAGGACAGACAGACTGGGCAGTGAGGACACGGCAGGGATGCGAGGATGGGGCAAAGCAGAAGGAGGTGCTGTAAGGAGGTGGTAGTGTCACCTGATGCCAGAGGGCAGGGCATGCAGGGCACCGTCTACATACAGGAACCTGTTCTGGGCAGCTGGATGGTCTCCGCGGACAGGTAACACTTCTGAGTCCAAGCCAAGTTCAGAAACCTGCTCCCCAAACGTCCCCGGGAAGGGGAGACACTAAGTAAAGAATTATATACTTCCTTTCCCCAGTCTGTCCTCTAACGAACCCCAACCTTCGGGGCGGTCCCCAGCCTCTCACCATGAGCAGGGTCCGGGCTCCCAGCGCTCCCGCAGGCCGAATTCCTCGAGGCCCAAGTTCGAAGACGGCACCACCAGGCCCCCGCACAGAGCGGATCCAGCCTCCCAGGCGCTCGCTGCCCTCCACCAGGACCACCTGGGGCAAGGGGGGTGGACGCTGCAGCCCGGCCTCGCGCGCCGCGCCGGGCGGAGGGTCCGGAGCGGCGGC